CATTTCTATGTTTCGCACGCCTGCGTCGTAGACCTTCTGAAGGAACTTGAGCTTGTCATCTAGTGTGTAGCCACAAAAAGCTCCATCCAGCCTTCCTTGACCTAAGAGATTGTACCAGTCATGAAAAAGAAAACTTGTCTGGTAACAATCATTCATCGATACTATTAAAAGAGAAGTTTACCCCAAAAAAGAAACAACTTACAACAAATTTGATTCATCAGTATTGAAGGGTGGCAAAATACTGCATATGATTTGCCATGATTATTTATTACTGAACAGATGAAATTAAGTAAGAAATTAAAATATATTTCACACATCAATCCTGAGAATTGGAAGAACTACTTTCAACTGATTTGGCCATTTAACTCCAAAAGATGGCAAAAATACTCTGGAATCCATTGATTACATGTAATAATTAACTAAGATAGATACAAAAAGATCTCAGAAAATCATTTTTTTCATTGAATTGTTGCACACTTAACTGATATGCTACTTAAAACTGTCCTGCAAAATTAGGTAGAATTTTATATTTGTCAATCTCAGGAAATATTCACTCGGGAGAAATAGGTTTAAAGTTGCAATAATTATTATAAAACATCATTTTACCCTCATAAAAGTCATGTGTACACATTGTGTTTCCAGTCGCTGTAAGTATTTCACCACTGCAATCTAACAACTGTTTTTGAAGCTGCTCATCAAGGGTCGTTGGAAATCTCACCACTTTACCTAAAATCACCTGAAATGGGAAACCAGATAATAATAGTCATAATGATCATAATCATAGTCGTAGTTGTAATCATAATAAAAGTAATAATAATAACAATATTGACTTTATTGGATAACACAATTACCGGTTAAACCAGTAGATACAAAATAAAATATTAATATGTGATATACTGTTTATAGTAACCGTCATGAAGTCTCTCAAAGTTGTCATAACAACCTGTAGAATTCTGTAAAAGTAAGTAACACAGTTAAAGATCTTAGTTAAGATTTTGCAGAATCCTACTCTCTAGGCTAGACTGTACTCCTACAGAGTCTTCTTAAGTTCTACAGTCTACCCTTCTTACCTATACAATAATCCTTAACTTGAAGTACCTGTTCACTAAATGGCTCTAAGAGAGCATTAACAGCAGTTCTTGTGATCACAACTGTTCCAGGTTCCAAACCTTTGAGATTAAAAGTTTCTGTCATTAAAATCCAAAATTTAACTTCTAGATATATAACAAGGTAATTTCCAAATTTTCAGTTGAAATGAATTTATATACCTAAGCCTCCTGATGTGCCGATGCGGAAGAATTTAACATCTTGTGCTTCAGCATAGTGCAGCAATTTGAGAATTTCATGCAAAATAACCATCAGGGAAGGAGTTCCAATGCCATGCTGTTTGGATCAAAAGTACATATAATAAATAATACCAGGGATGACAAATAGGCCATTTTCAATATATTAAAATTCTAACATGGCTCCGAGGCTTGGGGAAATAAAACAAAAGAAATAAGTTCTTCATCACTTAGCGTCGATGTGATTCCTTTTGTTTTACTCCCCCAAGCCTCGGAGCCAAGTTAGAATTTTAATATATCGAAAATGGTCTATTCTTCCTTAAATTTTAACACAAAATTTCAGCATTAATTTATAATTTCACATTCAAAATTACAAATTGCCATGGCAACGTTTGGTGCGAAATTTCTTGCTACAAATATGTTAAAAACCCACAATTGTGGGGGAATAATTTGTCATCTATGATATTAAACTTCTAAAGGTAAGCAGTATTATTGGTAATATTCAAGAGATTAAGACACGAATTGTGTTGTTCCAGAAAGCATCCATCACCCCCTCATGCCCTCAGAAATGCAGTTTTAATATTTTCATGGGACAGGTAATTATTATAATCACAGCTTTCTGCAAAGACAACTTGAAAAGTAGTAACAACACATGGAAGTGAGTGTTTCATACAATCACTTGCAAGCATATCTTCACCATCTACCGAAATTCACAACATGACTTGGTTACAGTTTGCTTGATACAAGTGTAGCTTGGAAATGCAGTGTGCAGTAATGCACCAGTATCGAAGAGGTCACAACTTAAAGTCTCATTCAAGTCATGTAAAGTGAATTTTCTTAAGGCTTTATGTTAAGTTGCGTAAATATCTGTGATCTCTCAATATTACACACATTTACAGCTAAGACAGGTCCAACTTTGTACAGCACATAGCGATCAGACTTTGACATGTTACAAGGCTCCTTGTCAACCTTCACATGGTCCTTGAGTTCATTTTGTATAAACTTAGCAAAGAGCTTTATGCGGCCAGTGCTTCCTCCCATGCAAACAAACTATAAGGAACAAAATGATGGTTGGTCAGCAAGCATGCAGTGATTCATCAACAAGTGGCAAAGTTTGTACATGTATCTTTGAATAAAATTTAATGATTTCAGTCTGTCAATTTATTTAATACTTTCCTTGACTTCATTAGCAATGGGGGAGGGGGAAGGGGGGCTGAGTGACCAAAACAATCCAGTTAAAAGATTTAACTAACTAACTAAAGATGTTACAAAAGAAAATAACTACCAGCACACTGGCAAGGTGTAAATGCTGTAAGTTGCAAATATTTATGAACAGCTATTTATTTTAGCAATTACAACAAAATAACGTTTAAAAGTAATACGATATCGCTTCCAGTGTTGTAATCAGTGATAGACATTCTCTAAAACTTTTTTTTGTAATCCAATTTGTTCCTTTTTCTTTACTGAATTTTCGGTGGCCTCTGTCCACCTACATCAGAGTACGTACTTGCAATATCAAAGTTCGTTATTGCTTGTCATTGTCAATATAACATAATTTGTAACTGGGCCAAGGTCCATACTTGCTCCTTATATAAATATGATCACCCTCCAGAAGAGAATAATATTCTTGGAGTAAAACACCAATAAAATGTGAGATGTCACATTTTTTTCTGTCTTCATAGTCATAAATACAACAAAGGAAAACAGAAATTTAAAACTTATTCTTTTTGTATATACCACAACTTGCAGAAACATTTATAAGTACTTATAAAACTGAATATTATCAAATGAATATTCTACTCTTTAGTTCAAAAGCTTAGTAACAGTTCATTTTTGTCTGCCGTGATCATAATTATGGCAACCAACAAACCTTGAAAACAAAAACAAAAAACAGGCAAACAAAATGGGTCACATCTACCAATCACAACTCAGAGATGTGTTCTTTTGAGCCCACTGAAGTAAACTTGTGCTCCCTGTGAAGTCCGCTAGAATGATTGATGGCAGCAAAGCATGAAACTGTCACTTGAGTGGAGTTTGTATGTAGTTGAAAGATGCGGTAACTAAGAAACTCACCTTGACATCACCAAACAAGTTTCTGAGTTTTTGATGATCACCGGCCTTTATTCCAATGTGAAAGAGCATGTCATCATCCAGCAACTTCAAATGAGGGTTACTCACAAACTGTGAATTTGGTGATGGGTCCATTTCCTGCAATGAATCACAGGATCCCAAGATAATAGTAATTAGCAAGAAGTCTGTAAGGTAAAGGTTAAGTCTNCTGCAGGCGATCAGTACACTGCACGTGTCGAAAGAACACCGAGGTCAAAGTTTAAGGTGTTTATGTCTGTCTTTCACGCCACCAGAACGTCCAAATTGCAAAATCTCGAATGAAAATCACAAGCCTAAAACCTGACCTTTCTCGAATAATCCTAGAAAGCGAATGTCTTCATACTATAGGACCTCAGTGTAGTTTTTCTGTTCAGTTTGTGAAGACGGAAACAAACTACTCACGCAGCGTAAGCTTCCTGATGTTATTATTTTATCGTGAGAACTTAGCGGCGAAAGGTATGATTTAGCTTTGTACAAATGCAATCCTTACCTTTGCTAGCTTCTCCCACAACCTGTTAATCTTCCCTGCAACAATCCTAGTCTGTAATCACTTTCGATAATTGTTGCTCGTTTGCAATTTCCTAATGCACTACGAAATTACTTGCGAAAGCCGACAACAATAGACTGAGTAAGTTGTAATTGAGCCACATTGTAATTGACTCATATCATTCCCGTCCCCATAGCCCTTTTCGCTTCTCTTAGCCGGCGGAGCCTTGGCACGAGGCCAAGGCCCCGCCGGCTAAGAGAAGCGAAAAGGGCTATGGGGACGAGAATGTAGGTCAGTGAGTCCTTTGAGTCCCTGTCGGTTATTTCAGTCAAATATCCGCCCGCGAGCAGACGTAAGTTCATGGCGAAACGTTTTAAGGATTGTGAAAGCGGAAGTGATCCCGACTTCTGCTTCGGTGTGACGGTTTTCTGATGCGGAAAATGGAATAGTTATTTTTGTACAGTGAGATAATTTTGCATTGTTTTTCCCTTTACGTATAATTTAGAACGAACCTTGCCGAGACCAACCGTCTTGACGGTGCTGTATTCATCCAGAAAACTCCACATATTTCCAAGGTATTTGTGCTGTAGTAGAAGGTTTTATGGAAAGAAAGGTAAATGTGAGACGAAAAGGACCGGCGTCTCCTCGCAATGAACGACTGGACGAGGAAGAAGTGTTTGATTTCCCGGGCCTAGAAGATGAAAGCAATGGAAGTGGGCCAGTGTCGAGGGATGCGCATGTTGCCCTCAGAAAAGGTATTTAGTGGGCATTGATTCCTTTGCCAAATGGGACAAAGTTGAATTGTAAGCTTATTAGTACCTTAAAATAAGCCAAAAGAAGGGAAGGCAAGTTGCTTGCTCAATGTGGTATCCCTCCCACAACTCTTGAGCTACATGCAAGGGTAATGAAAGTGCAACTCAAGGTTTTCCTGGTGTAAGCTGCAGTAGAATACCTCTCAAAGATTTACAAGTATTGCCATCAAAATAATGCTGAGTCAGACGATGCCCTTTCCACCCACACCATTCTTTTCATGCTTAAGACATTTTCTGGGTACAAAGCAAATTCAAAGTTCCATTCTGATGACATAACAATATAGAGATTCAGACCGTGTCAATCTCTAAATGGTTGTTTTATTTGAATAGTAAACAACCATATCATTGAGAAACTGATTTGATCTTTATACAGCTACGTTATACATTTTTAGAATGGAAATTTTTATTTCAAATAATGGGATAACTCTTAACAAATAGGCGCGTGGAGAACCAATCACGATCGAGAATTTTGTTATCGATACGATTATAGAGTTAATTCAAAATAGGAATCAAAATCGTGGCATTTGCCATCAATGTTTGGTTATTGACATTGCTTCTGCCTGCCTTAAATCATAAGTCGACATATTATGAAAAGATGAATGATTCATGCACAACAACATTGCAGCACTGATAAGATGCTATATAAATGCATTTTATATCTGTTGAATTATTCTGGCATTTTGATTGGTTTTTACTTATGATCAACTGGAGGACAGATGCATAGATGACATCATCTTTTACATTTTTTGTTTCTTAATTATACAAAACAAATAGATACCATGTTGTGGTACATTGTTCAGTAATAGATCTTCACAGATGACATCAAAGTGTGGTAAGAACATCAGTGACACACTCGGCTATCATCCTGTGTGCCACTTTTTTGCTCTTACCGTATTTGGACTTCATCTTGATCAATTGCAACATGGCATCATTTTGTTTAACTTGCAGTCAATACCTCCCCGGGGGAGGGGGGCTCCAACCCTGAGGTCCAACCCTTACCCTTTTTTGTACACCATTTAAACAGAAAAGGTACCCCTTTCGTATAACTTTTCTGGAAAAAAAGGTATCCCTTTTACCCTAAACCCGTGGAATGAAGTTAATGAACAATATTATGGGAGAACATTAAGCATTACCAGATACAGTCACAAGATTTTCTTGTGGCAATCAATATCAATCTAAACACAAGATGTAATTCTTAGAACTAACTGAGCTAGGATCTTAGACATTCTTTCGTGTGAAAACAAATATTAGAACCAAACAGTAAGGTACTAAGTTAAAGGGGCATTTTCGAGGCAATTTTGCTTCTTTTTCGGTCAAAACAGAACAAAAAATGTAGCTTAATAAAGTTGCTTCTAGAGTCGCCAAGATGAGGATATCAACAAGTAAATGTAATGCTGGAGGGAGAACCTATTAGTAACTTGTCTTTACTGATTTTTCCAAGACCAGATGAGGGGGACTTTGAAGAAGTCTGCAACGCTTTTTCAATTTAACATCACAACCTTCTGATTGCCTTTTCATTCACACTCTTTACAGCTTCACTGCACTTATATTAATAGTAATTTTGACAATACTAATTTTCATTGATGAAAATATTGAATGTCCTTTTTAGGGTTTAGTGCACTTTTAAAGATGAATAACTAAGAAACCATGCAGGGAGATTGTAACATGTCAGCAGCCAGGTTTTAGTTACGGACTGGTGTTTTTTTGTAAAAATTGCTCATTGATACTTTAGTTACTAAATGTTGCCCTCTTGAATCTGAACTCATCAGCTTTTGAAGATCTAAAGAAACGTTATTTGGAGGGACAGATTCGAATATCTGAACTACAAGCTAAACAGAGAGATAGAAAAGGATCACATGAAAGGGTTTATCAAGAGAGAGATGAACTGTTAGGCCACCTGCAGAAGAGCTATCTTGCTTTTGAAGAAAAATATGGTGAAAATGAACAACTCAAAAAGATGATTGAAGATTTAAAGCAATCTCTTAAATTGTGTCAAGAAGCTTCAGCTCAGGTGTGTGGTTGTCTCTAGCAAAGCTTGCTGTAATTTAACAAATAAAGAAGCCTAAGCGTAAGGACACAAGGGAAATGTAGAAAACATGAGCCATGGGGAAGTGTTTTCTTCATTTCTCTGTGTTTTACCACAGTGTAATACACGGGTTAGGCTTCTTCATTTGCTTTATGATATAGAGGTAATGTGAAAAACAATAAAACAGTATTTTTCTATGTGTTATACTCTGATAAAACATGGGTTTTTGACCAATCTGAGCATGTTCAGGGTCTCCTATCTTTATTATAAACTTACTTATTGTTTCACGTTGAATTTATGCCATATAAATATGACCAGGGGTTCTAATGGTTTGAAATGTTATTTCATTTTTACATATGGCTCAAGAATATCAATTAATTTTTTTTATAGTTCAAGTTACACATTACTTATTTACATCAAAGAGTAAACAAAACAAAGCAAAAAAATAAAAGAGAACACATTTCATACAAAACTTAAGTACAATATATTGATTAATCAGGTGTATTGCATAACTTGATTACAGTATTGAACCAACTTGCAAACTAAATTATCAATGTGTGCTAGGAACTAGAAGAATCTTGTTTGGGTCTGTAGAAGGGTTCATTGTAGAAATATAAATTATGAAAATGAAAAAACCAGCCAGCAAACTCCCTTTCTGAATGTCTGTCCATTTGTCTGTCTGTCTGTCTGTATGTCTTTTTACCTACCAGTCTACACCTAGAGCAACCAACTTATATCATCCTCCACCTAGAACTGTTGTTCTCCTCATGCATCCTCCATTATTTCCTCTCTTATCATCCCTTCCCTTCCTTAGTCTTGCCTGGTCATGTGGTGTAGTTTGGTTTCGTATTGTGTTGTGGTAGTTGTGTCAGGACATCTCTTTCTTCCCTTTTATTGTCTCTTCCTTTCCCTTCTCTTCTTTTTTATTTGCCAGTCTGTTTTTCTCTGTCTATTGGAGCTGCCTGTCACACATCAGTGGTGGAATGACTTCCTGCCTATCTGTCTCTATCTCTGATTTTCTGTCTGCCTGGCTGGCTGGCTGGCCTGCTGGCTATCTATTAAGTCAGCTTGTTTCTGACTGCTTTTCTAGTTATCAACCTAATTTTTTTTTTTCTCAGAGTGAAGGTGGCGCACAACATGGGCCAAGCTCTGAGGAAAAGAGGAAGTTGGGAGAGAAAAAATACATTACATTGGTTGAAGAGTTAAAAAAGATTGGATTGGAAGTGGTAGAAGATAACGGTCAGTTGTTCATAATGTTAATAGACAGGGATAGTCTGAAAAAATGGATAGAAGAAAATTCAGCTGGGAATATAACTTTAGTGATTAAAGGGAGTGCCTCAGAGGATAAAACGACAGAAACAGATGTAATATTAACACAACAGGAAGGTTACGAGGACAAGGAAGGGAAAAGAAAAAGAGTTGAAGCGGAGGTGATACTTTTGAGGCAGAAAATCCAGGATCAAGCACAAGAACTGAATCGATTTTACGAAGTATTCAAGCAAGCAATGACTCAGAATAAAATGTTAAGAGCAAGGGAGCAGAGTAGGGAAACTGATGGCGGAAATACAAAAGGTCAGTAAATATGTGTTATTGACTAAGCATGAGGTCAAGATGGCTGGATATTTGGCCAAGTTCTTTTTTGTGTGTTTATGGACCGAGACGGAGTCGAGGCCCATAAACACGCAAAAAAAGGATAGAGGCCAATATCCAGCCATCTTGACCGAACGAGCTTGGTCAATAAAGGATTTATTACATGGAAAAGAATACCTTTTTCTTGCCCGACACAGCGGGTATTCCCGAGCGGGCAAAATAGCGTCACCTTGCCCGTTCGGGTAGCCAATCACAGCGCTTGATTCAGTTCATCTTGCCCGCACA